TCCCAACTAAAGGAGCACCGTAAAAGGGTAGGTGATGATTAGGAGCTTAGCTCAGTTCATTTAGTCCAAATCCTGGGGCTCAAGGTTCAGGGTTAGGGAGGAGAGGAGGGTCCGGTTGGCAGGTGAGTGGCAAGAGGAGCACGGGACAGGGTGATCCTCGAACGGGGGGGGAATCCTCGGAGTCCTGAGGGGGGTGCAACGGGTGGCGGAGAGCTGGTCGTTCAGAAGAGGCTGGGAGCAGGAGACAGGCGTGGATCTGTGACTTATGGCAGGTTCTGTAAGCGGAGGCTAGACCTGAAGGGGAGGGAGAAACAGGTAAGGTTACTCAGGACGAAGCTCGGAAGACAATCTGATCAAAGATAAAAGGCTTGCGACACTCAGGTAGCTCTACCAAGATTGAGTAATCATCCAGCGCTGAGGTGCATCTCCCTGCTCCTTAAAGGTTGGTTTATGCTTGACGCGTCCGCGAGGTCCGCACGGCTCCGCGCGGAAAAGTTGCGTCATTTTGCGTCATTTTAACAACCACACCCCTCCACCGCGTCTCCGCACGGCCCAAGATTTCCGCAACGCGCACCTCGGAAAATTTCTAACCACGCGGACGGTCGGACGCGGAAAAACATGGCGGACCGGCACGGCAGAGGTTCGTAAATACAGTCATTTGTATGATTCTGCTCTCAAAGATCACCGTGATCAACATGTTGTTAATAGTTCTTGGAGAGAAATAGCTTGCACTGTCGGAAAAGACGAGAACGCTGTTAAAAATGCTGAAATGTCATGTTGTAAACAGTAATTTCTACTTCTACCATGGTGTAGTGTTGGATGCTTGCCGTAGAGCTCCATGCTGCCCCCTACAGTTTGGGAGAATATTGGCTCACCGCAGAGACGAGCCGCACAAACTGTAAACACTGCGAGTTGTGAAGCGCGTTCCAGCCGCGAGCCGCATCATCGCACGGAAAGTGAATGCGTCAAGCATAAACCAAGCTTAAGAAGCCTACTGAGGAGTGGCAGATGGCTCGCTGCTCTCCAGTTCCACCCATCTGCAATCAGTCAGAATGAGAGTCAGGTGTGTTCACTCACCTCCAACCGTGACAGCACCCCTCTTCAAGGGACGCCACCAGGCAGCCCAGACGCAGAGGAAGAGGAGAAGCGAGACAACTCAAAGTCCCGAATCAGAGAGGGGTCCGTGATAAACGAGTGAGGGACCCAAGAGCTGTCCTCGGGGCCATAACCCTCCCAGTCAACCAAGTACTGGAAACCACGCCCCTGGGGGCGGACGTCAAGAAGGCAGCGAACTGGGTAGACGAGACCACCCTCGAACTGCCTGGCCGGAGGTGGAGGAGCAGGAGGGGGGCAGAGGGGGCTCGTGGAAACCGGCTTGATGAGGGAAACATGAAAAACAGGATGCACTCTCATTGTGGGGGGAGGATCCAAACAGAAAGCAGAAGGGCTGATAACAGAAGTGATCCTCTATGGTCCGATAAATCTGGGCGACAGCTTCTTGTTAGAGGCCTTGAGACGTATGTCCCGGGTGGAAAACCAGACCTCCTGGCCCGGGACGCATGCTGGAGCGGGTCGCCGGTGGCGATCGGCTAGGCGTAGATTCCTGACAGCCGCTCGACTCAGAGCAGCAGTGGTGGCAGCCCAAATCCTCCTGGAGCTGCGGACGAACAGGGGAACAGATGTGGTGGGTCTATAGTCCTGCGGGAGTACGGGGGGTTGGTAGCCCAGGGAGACCTCAAATGGGGGACGCCCAGTGGCGGAGGATATGTGACAGTTATGGACAAACTCGACCCACGGCAGATGGGTACTCCAGCTCTTAGGGTTGGAAGAGCAGACACAGCGTAACATAGCCTCCAGCTCCTGGTTCATGCGTTCACATTGCCCGTTGGTTTGGGGATGAAAACCCAAACTCAGAGCCACACGAGCACCCAGGCTAGAGGCAAACTCCTTCCAAACCTTGGACAGGAACTGGGGCCCCCGGTCTGAGACTATTTCCTCTGGAATGCCATGTAGCCGGAAGGCATGCTTAACCAGGAGCTGGGCCTTGTCTGCGAAAGAAGGGAGATATCTTAATGGGACTAGATGACAGGACTTGGAAAAACGATCAATAACTGTGAGAATTGTACTGAAACCATGACCATGGTAGGGATGGCACAGGAAGGTGGTTGAGGAGTCCAGCTGGGGGTTGGTTAGAACACTTATTTCGAGCACAGGTTTGACAGGCGTTAACATAATCCTTGACATCACGAAACCGTGTAGGCCACCAGAAAGACCTATGAAGGAAGGCTACAGTTCTACTTATTCCAGGATGGATGTAGAAATTAGCTGAATGAGCCCAATGTATCACGGGACCTCTAACCTTTGAGGGCATGTACATCCTGTTGGGAGGACTGCTACCTGGACCAGGCTCGGTTCTTAGAGCCTCCTCCACCTGCTTTTGAATATCCCACACCACCACCGCTCCCACCAGGCAGGATGGGGGAAGGATGGTGACAGGTAC